GAGGCCAGACAGCACAGTATCAGACGTCATCCTCTGAAAGGTAGCGGGAGTAGAACACAAAGCAAATGGAAGTATATTGAACTCATTGAGTCCGTCGGGTGTCATGAATGCCGTCTTCTCGCGATCTCGTTCGTCCACTCCTATTTGCCATTATGTGCTTTTTGAGTCCAACGATGAATAAAAGAGAGTATTGCGCAATTCATCTGAAGTATTGTTGACTCGTGGGAGTGGGTAAACGCCTCACTTCGTTTCGAGGTTTAGTTTCCTGTAGTTAACACAAAACCGCATGATGTTGTCCTTTTTCTTGACAAGGACAACCGGTGATACCCATGGGCTTTTGGATGGCTGTATGACATCGCCGTTATCTCCTATACTTGACTCTTTAGCGCCTGTCTTTCTTTTGGAGCTACTCGGTATTGATGTTGTGTAGCGAAGCCTCCGAACTCTGAAATTGGTCGAACTCTTGAGTACCTCCTAGAGGGGCAACCCAACAAGGACGCCGCTCGCGCTGAGAGCCCATGCTTGGCCATTACTGTCGCCTTTGTATATTCTCGCTCGTTGCCGGCTAATAAACGCCTTAACAATTGACATAGTGGTTTAACGTGCCCTTTGACTACAATGCGGTGCTTTGCTACCGTAGTACGTCCTACTTTCGACGAAGTGGAAAAAATCACAGCTTATCCAAGGAATAAATATTGATCAGTGGCGCAAATCGTCCGTCAGTCTGTCCGTGCTTCCGTTCGTCGGTTCGTTCCTAATAATAAGTTATTTATGTCGAACACACAGTGAGTCTTGGATGGAAATGCAAAAGGATGAACATTGCCTCCCTGAATAGGGCTTTGCCACCCATACATTGCTTACACAGTGCATAAGCATGCGGTGGCATAGAACAATGCAGGATACATAAGTTCGTGCAATACAGTAACAAACCCTATTGCAACCATAACTATGTTACATGCTCCCATACGTCTTTTCGTTCGCTCGTTGTTCATTCCTGCGTCAGTCCACGCGTCCGTCTATCCATTCATCTATCCATGCGTCCATCCGTGCGTTCATCAGCCCATGCGTAGGTCCGCGCGTCCATACATCTGTCCTTCCAATTATCCGTCCGTCCGTCCGTGCGTCTGTCTGTCTGTTTGCTTGTCCGCCCGTCTGTCCGTCCGTCCGTTCGTCCGCCCATCTTGTTTAAAAATGTTTCATGCTCCAAATGTTTAAAGTACTGCGTACTTTAAACATTTGGAGCATGAAACTTTTCCCAACTTGATATGCACCCACTACGTGGCTTTAAGAGAATAGGCGTGTGTGCCTTTTGTAGTGGGCGACCAGCTTAAACCACGAAGCCAATAAGATAGTCACATGTTCTGATGCCCGCAGTCAATGGGTGCTTGCACCACTCTATATGACTGCAGTATCTCATGTTGGATTTTCAAGCATGTATACAAGATGCGTAGGTTTGTAAATCACAAATGTAACTTTCACTGCATTCCTCTGCAGTCATTTTCACTGTATCACAAGCATACGCGCGTCCGCGTGGCAGAACATCTGCTTTCCACACAAACGACCCTGGTTTGGTCGCCACCTTGATGCAGGGTTTTTTTATCATTTATTTATTTGCATCTTTCAAGATTTTTTTGTCACGCGTAAGATAATAATTTTTCTCTGACAATCAACGATGCCAGCACCAACGCCAGAATTGCTGCAAAACGAGCTCTCTAACATTACAGCAATAGAAATTCTGTGACTGTTCTTCGGACACTACTTGATAGTTCAACCTCTCGGCCCACTCGACTACGAGGTTTTATTGCCCACGAAATCACGAACTCTCAACTGCGCCGTGCACTGCCTGAAGTCGTCCATGTCATTCGCCTCAAGCCATTTCATGCGCGAACCTGAGGAGTGTATTTTCTTGTCGTTGCTGTGTTTATTTCTTGTACCTAATGATTATTCTCTTACATATTGTATACTTATTGTTTGTTAAAGCATCAAGACGATGCCTTTTTCGAATCGCTATGTCACATTCCTTCCTCAAATTTTGTTATTGCTCCGTTATACTGTAAATAATGCTCAGCGCAAAACGCGCCTGCAGTATTCGAGAAGCTTCGGGACTGCAGTTTTCATTTTGTTAAGAATACACGCGCAATGCGAACAGTGCAGATTATTCCGGAACTTACGTAGCCGCTAGCGATAACACTTGAATATTCAATGGCACATGTGTATATGGCGATGCACTTCACCGGATGTCTGCTGATTGACGGCCAGCCCCGTGTTCGCCGCTATCCGTGCCATTGACACGGTATTACTGTAATCGGACTTTCCGTTACTTGCCACTTAAGTTCAGCCTAATAAATACTTTGAATTTGAACATACGGGCTACTGTCTTCGTTGACACCGCGACCTACGTGACAATATACTTTTGTGTTGTAAATCCTACGTCAGACAGACGGGATGATGCCATATAACCTAAGGCTGAAAGAGCATCTGTACCTCTGTCAGCAGCTAGCAGAGGCGAGTAACTTAGCGACACAACACAATAAATGTTCTTGTGAAGCATTTTTCAAGCAAACTGCCTTGCCAGTGTGCTCTGAGAAAAAAAGGGTTCCGATCACTGCCGTAACAGTAGTTGTACAGCAAGGCAGTAGGTGGCACCTAGAAGGTGTAGCCTTCGACACATTGCGACGTCACTTCACTGGTATTACGCACAAGAATGGTGCAAAAGTGAGATAGGCATCTTCCCAGTGCGTCTGATTACGCCAACCGGCCACGCATGCTTCACTGTCCGCAACCATCTGACTCCACGCATCTGACTCCAGCTATGACGCATTGCTCACAGCCATCCAGGTCGTCGGTGTCCATCTCATCTTCGCTAATCTACCCTTCGTCCAGATGACGTCTGTGGGGTGAAGCGAATGTTGTTGAACTGTTTAGTAAAACTTCAATTTCTCTATGCAGAAAAAAATCCATAACGTTCCAGCAACAAGGGGAACATACACATCGGCACTATATCTACTATACTCGGTGACAGCTTTTCTTGACAGCACTGTGGAAGCTATAGAGCCAAACCGCCTGCATGCGCGCGCGCCAGGAAATAGTACCTATTTTATTTTCTAATTCTAATAGCTACTTGGCCACAATAAATAAAACTTTCTTCATTATAAGGATAGAACAAGTATGAGACGCTGAAAACGCCGCGGTGGTCTAGTGGCTAAGGTACTCGGCTGCTGACCCGCAGGTCGCGGGTTCGATTACCGGCTGCGGCGGCTGCATTTCCCATGGAGGCGGAAATGTTGTAGGCCCGTGTACTCAGATTTGGGTGCACGTTAAAGGTGGTCAAAATTTCCGGAGCCCTCCACTACGGCGTCTCTCGTAATCAAATGGTGGTTTTGGGACGTTAAACCCCACAAATCAATCAGTATGGGACGCTGTTCATGGGAAAGAACTTATCGTGCGCCCTAATTTTTTTCTTTTTTATTTCTTGGACGGCACCACGTTTTCCGATCCCCGGCTGCGTCTGCTGCTTGCTCTTGCAGCGGCGAGCACAGCATCGGCCGTGGAAAAGCTGCTGATCGTTGGGACACGCCGTCTTTTATACATCACGCATCGAACTTTCCAGCCTTATCACTGGTGGCCGCGCAAGCTCTGAAATAAGGTTCACTGTTCGCGTCTTGCGTGCAATCCTAACAACGATCTACAACAATTGTGAGGATTCTCGAACACTGAGGCGCAGTCTGCGCCGATCATTGCTGACAGCCTTTCAGGGCGTAAACCGAATACAGCAAAACTGAAACAAGACAGGCCGGTGACCGGATCGTGCCGCAACCGGCCTTCCATTTCGCCTGTACCAGGGCTCAATACCGTAAACTTTAACATTCGATCACGTGTGGCGCCTACCCGTATATACTGGGCTGAACACGGAACCTAAACTTCACTGTTTTAAAGGCTGAATAATGCTGGGAAAACGTTCTGAACAACGGAAAATTTTATATGTACCAGTATATAAACAGCACAGTAACTAGCTGCATGTATGCACTCTCATCAAAGTTTAACTCCGACATTCCCATTTCGCATGCATACATTTTGCTAAACACACTAGCGCAGCGAGCAAGCGAAAACCGAAACTGGAACCGAAATCGGCTGCAAGCTGCCGGACGACTTGCGTAGTAACACAAATGTGCGGAGGCCCCGCCTCCGTGGCCTTCGCTCCAATGTCAAGAAAAGCTTTCGCCGAGTATAGCTTTGGAATCTGCGCCCATGAAACAGAGCATCTGAGAACAACGCTGCTCTAATCTGCCCATGGATCGAAACCTTAGTACGCTAAAGTATAGCTGTGCTGTAAGACTCTATGAGAAACTTTACAGACAATTAGCATTGTGGCAGTAGGCGAAGAACCTTTATCATTTTAATGGAGTTTGTGCTTGATTTTTGAAAGAGGACACGCTAAGTTTCACCCGATATTGCTTCTACCATAGTGACTCGTTCTAAATGGGAAGCACTTTTACTTCTCTTTTTTCTTTGTTGCACCTATTAGCACTAGGTGCCGTAATTAACGCCTGACACCATCAATCTCTTTTTTGTGAGCATATACACCTGCTTATTTGACCCACCTAATTTCTAGGGGTCATCTTTTTACAGACAATAAATTAAACCAGTGGGTAAAGTTCCCGTTTGACGCCATGCGTCCTTTATTTGGTCCGTTCGGCATTGTTTTTCTATTTTCTTCACACTTCTTTTAAAATCAATTAACGCCAAATATTCCACGCTATCGCTCTACTACAGGCAAGTTCTTTCTACCTAAAGCTACGGAAGCCATTCGTCCATGTGGTGAATGAAGTGGGCTAGTCACTATGACATAAAACTGGCAGCAAATTGCCGAAATAATTTTGTTTTGAGCTGCAAAATCTAGGTGACTTAAGCTTCCTAATTGCTTGTGTTATCTTCCGGATGTTGTTACTTCGCGACAGTTTTTTATATACCTTGCACCAACGTTTTTTTTTTTATTCCAGAGCTACCCTTGAGTCTGTTCCACGAGCCATTCTTCTACAATGACGACACCCTGTAAGTGAAAACGATTGCTTCTTGCTGCTCACGCATTTCGTTGGCCTTAGGGCATTGTGCAGAAAATTACCATGAATATATAGTTCACCAGTGCTACCACACAGCAGATGCACACAACAGGATAGGGGTAGTTTATACTCCCCGCTCACTACTGTCCTTTTCTTAAAGTCTAACGTTTGCTTTCAAGCTAGGGTCTGTTGACGTTGTCATTGAAGTAAGGAGAAAACTGGGAGACTATTTACATGATTGACCGTAGAAACGTGTTTTCTCTATTCTGCTACGTTAAAAGAGTGTAAACTGCGTGCTCGGAGGCTCTGTGTTTTATTCCATTGAAGTAGCTTTAAAGGCGAAAAAAGAAAACGTAAATTTACCTTCGTGATTGGTCTGTTTTAACATTTTTCTTGCGCCTCAAATCACAGCGACACAGAGCGCAGAAATGGTAGAATGTTTGTACCACGTTAGCGTTGCCTGAGTGTTAGAATTGCATGAGAGATCAAACTGTACAGCAGCTCATGCAGCTGTGCGGACAGCCTGGGCGTAGCGAGAAACTCTTATCAGAATGGCTCCTCCATGCGTTCGTTCATCATTTGAAGAGCTGTAATTTTACATTATTTATGAAAGACAATGACTTTCCTTCATTCATGTGTGTCTATGTCTTTGCACGCGACACACAGATGCAAATTGTAAGAATTGTGAGGGTACGGGTGCCCTCAACGACGAATCTATCCCCTTCTATACTCAAATCCGCTTGTGTGCAGTCCAACATGCCCGCCGAAGAAGAGTTCAAAGCGTTTACAAGAATAATTACTTTGTTCACATAGGTAAATCTATTGCGATGACGTGCATATGTGCTATATTCCTGATCGTTTGAAGTAAGAGTGCGATACGTAGACGCGGACGGGATAGACAGCGACAAGCGCTTACTGCATACTAAAAGTTTAATCGGAAAGCTGTGAAGTACATACTCACAGAGAAAACATTTCGTAAGCACATACGACAAGACCAAATCGCAAACTAAAATAACAAAACCGATAAAAAGTCTACGTATGTCAGCCCCAACTTACCAACGTGCACTTTGCCTTACAACCACTATTCAACCACTATGGCAACTGCGAATGTCCAAAAACGCTAGCTCCTTATCACACAGAGTTATTGATGGTTTTCTCACGCAAGTCAAGTATTCATGTGCTATGTTTGCAGCTTCAGTTACAATTATTGTGTGGTCATCTTTATGTTGATTACCTACTACTGTGTTGAACTTCACAGCCACATCTAGTGGCAATTTTTGAAAGAAATATGTGCGCTCTGTCCTATCTCTTTGCTCTTTCTTCCTTCTGAAACGTTACCTGCGCACTAAGAATGTATATTTATTTCCAAAATGCAATACTAACCAGCCCAAGTAGCCGCCCTTATCTAGTGAGAAGTTGGGCCAGAAATCCATCGTTACCACTGAGAACGCATGCACGACGCATGCTCACGCAAGCTGTCGTTAAGGCATCTCCAAGTTTTCCAATATAACAGGCACGACATGAAAGTGCGCTGCTGTAAACAACGTTGCTAATGCATTTAGAAATCAGGTTTTGTGCTTTGTTTTGCACAGCTGTTTTTTTTTTAGTCTAGTGGCACATGTCTGCCTAGCGAGCTAAGAAAGCTTGCGTGGCGCAAAGAAAACTACACACACTCCCATGCGTCGCCCCACCTTCTTCAGGCGGTGGGTAACCTGATGCATGTAAGGGACAACAGCTATTTTTTCTTCTTCTATTTCGTGGTTGCTGTTGTCTCGTCCTGCTGCATAATTTATTTCGCCATATTTAGCCCCCCATTTTCTACGTATATTTTTGGCCACCGAAGCCAAGACTGGCTCAAGATATACAGATGACTTATGCCTAGCGACCTTATTGTGGAAGCTGGCTTCTATTCAATGGACACAAGAACGGTAAACTGCATCAGTACAACATGTACTCATAACACCTCTTTTGACAACTGAGCTATGCGCGGATGTGTACGGCAACATAGGTTTCTCCGTGCGTGGCTCATACGCCCCGCAGGTATTTTCGGCACTAAACGTAAGCCTAAGCACCATCTTTTCGCCCCGCAGTGACCCTTCCAACTTTCATCTGCCAGGAAAAAATGCCAGACATTAATGCCATATTGTTACATGAGTGAGGCCAGGTGTGATAAAGTCAATATCATTTGGGATTGCTTCTATCTTCAGGCCATTCACAATTTCACTTTTGTTTGACCTACTTTTTTTAACTAGTTTAGAATTTGGTTATTGTTAGTTTCGTACCGATGCAATAAATGTGTGAAGGGCTCTGTAAATACATCAATGCATCTTGGCCATGAGTGCTTTCAGGCAGTGGTAAAACGTATTATTCGAATTTATTTCCGAGGGCGTTGTCATTGAAGTTCTCCTATTTTACTGTCAAGAGACATGAATGTCGAGTAACAATTTAAGTCACAGTGAAAGCGCATTATATGACAACATCTAAAACGACAATGTTATCAACAACAGTGCGCTACCTACCGATAAATTGAGGTAAATGCACTAGAACACAAGCGCCGCAGTAGGACATTTTAAAAATGATCCCGATGACATCAGATGGGCCACTTACAATAAATCACTAATAATCGATCTAGCTGCATTAAATAAAGAACATTCCGTGCATCAAGAGACGCAGTAAAATGCTGCTTGTTTGTTTCTGTTTGATTAATTAAAAAAAGAACTGCCGGGACGTTACTATAGGGAATGGCGCGAGTGGTTCGAAAATTCAATTTTTCGCGCAGTTACACAGGACAGGCGGTGCTTTATAGCGGGGCGCAGTTGAAACAAAACCATCTCGAATCTCGAAGCAAATAGCGGGAAATTAATCAATGGCCGTTGTTGCTGCTGTGTCTCCCGCTCCTCTCGGTCAGCTCCTACTAGCGCAGCAAAACCGGGCAACACTGTGCACGGCAACATCGACGTGAACCGGTTTGGTCGGTCCGCTTTTAGAGGTGTGCATTTTGAAGTGCGCTAACCAAATGCGGACCACTAAAACGTGATTTATTTCAAAATAGGTCCTTCCTTTGGACAGAAGTAACCCTACGAGGTTTCTGGACCGCCATTTCAACCATAAACGTTGACTTAATAGTTGTCTTTATTGTCTCTTTGAAGGAGCAGTGACACTAAATGTCAAATTCGAGACATGGCGTTGGTTCATTCGAAAGCTTGGTATGCTTGAGGTCTTTTTAGCGAAGTATAAATGGCGTTCGTTGTGTACTCTGTTTCGAGTACGAGAACCACCCAAAGGTTCAGTGGCGCGTTCTCGGTCATGTGACATCAATGGTACTTTCAGGTGTTCTGCCAGCTTAGGCCACGCCTCAGGTACTGAGTCAAGCTGAGCGAACAGTCATGACGTCCTATTTTAATGTTGTTATCGCAGTGCCTACTTGTGGTACCGTCTAGCGGAGTTTCCTGGCAACGGCTTCAGTTGGTTGGTGCAGTGCGTTTACTTGATTCATGTTATTAGCGCGTTCGTGTGAATCCTTCGTTCTCGATGTGTCGCTTTGAATATTTTTTGTGGAGTCGTGAGTGCGAATATCATAATTTGAAGCTATGGTCATCGCAAACAAGTCACATGCAAGCATCGTTCATGTCTTACCAGCAAGCGTGGTTCTAGTGTGTGTCTTTAGTTGCCTCGTCACTGCTCTGTATATTGTCAATTTCAGAATTACTGCTGAGAAGGGGAGGGGGTGAAGACGTGCCTATACCCGTGCGCGCCGAGAAGACAAAATGTCAACTGAAACTTGGGCCACCATTGCGTGTGGCCGCGTGGTCAGACGGGGCGAGAACACAAGAGGTAACCGCACAACATCGCTGGTAGCACTAAAAATTGGCTTGCTTTGCACCCATTCTGAATTGGCTCAATACTGGTCATAATACTAATCGATATTTAATATGTGAATTTGTCCCTCTGTTTCACTGTTAGAACTGAATCGTTACTATAGGATCGATAACTACCCAGGGCAAAAGCAGTTACGAATAAATGGTAGAACTCAGCTGTCTTTGTCATTTTCATTAGCTAAAAGAAAATTCATGGTTCAGGAGTTTGTTTTACCTTTTGTATGGTTATAAGAAAGATGTTTCTGGGCACAAGGTATCAATAAAGTGGTCATAGGCGTTTCAAGTGTAGGACAAAACAACATGCCATTCCAGATTACCATCCTATTTCTTCACGAAAGCAAGATAAACATCGTGGATTCCAATCTTGAAAGTGAATGTCCCCTTCCACTACATGTTTTCGCTTAAATTTTACGCTAGTAGTTAGACAGATTGGCAAATGATCACTAATCGTACTGGTATTCGCATGGTATCGAATATCAACAATGATTGTTATAAATAGATATAGTGAAATGCCTGTAGTGGCAGTAACATCATTTGGGATAGCTATACTAACTGAGAGCCAATACGATAAATGCAGGTTAGAAAATACGGTTTGTTTCTTATAAGCTGTGCGAATGACGATCTTCAGATTCCCTTCAATGTACTGAGTATACTAAGTGTGAATGCAATTCTTAGTCAAGCTATGCGAGGCGTCTGTCGGGATCCATTCACCACCCTCTCCAAAAGCAACAGCTGCGGGCGCACATGTTACTAGCTACTAGAAGCCCCCCCCCCCCCAACCCCCTTCTTGGCTTGTACGTGACTTGCCACTGCCTAAATGCAGTGCGTTTGAAACGCATATGTAGCATTTGTGCTGGCAGCGTTTGTGTTTATAAGACGCTGACAGTATGGCCGTTAGGTACAAAGCCAGGTGCAGTGCTTCACCCTTGCTTCTTTCACCGTTCGCTCTCTCTCCTCCCTGCGCCCCACTTTCTTTTCTGCTCGCACCTTTTTCTCGACTGTTTGCTGGCTGGGCGCCTCTCAAGAACACCCGGAAATATGCGCATGAGACACCGCTGGAAAACTCCAACGCCCAGCCGAGAACGCCGTTTGTTTTGTTTACTTAACAGTATTT